GATTCAAAGGCTACATTCCATGTGTTCTCTGTTGGAATTTTAATTAACTTGTTAATTTGGGAGATAGTCATCTCTGAGATCTTCTGGTGCCATCCCTGAAGTCTGGATTACTACATTCCTATGGTGGGTGACTGCTCAAGGACAGATAATTCCGCCTAGGATGGGGAACAAATGTAATCTTGTTTCTCCTGAGATTAGGGAGGGGGCGAGATCAGGGAGGAGCAAGGGAAGGGGGGGAGGGAGAGAGAGAGAGAGAAAGAAACTTGTCCATTTAAAAAATAAATTGTAGTAAGAGAGCAGCAAGTTCTATATTCAAAGCATAAAGTGGACCATTGCTATGTTAGGAAATTAAAAAGAAAAATATGAAAGGATGAAATCAAGACCTTCCACTTGGTCTCAAACACTTAAAAAACTTTTACATTGCCATGTGTTTTAATCCTGCTTCTTGTTGAGTTCCTAGACTAGAGTGCCAAGAACATGCGACCCTTTCTCCTTTCTGACCTTATTTTGCTTGTTCCACTTCGGGATTTCTAAAGTGAAAAGGTCTGGTGCTTTCGTAGGCGTGCCGACAATCTTGCTCTGGGGCTCAAACTGGCGGGCTGGTGCCCTTTGCCAAGCCCTCCCCTACCAAATCTGTTTTGTCTCCTGCTGGGCTGAGTCACATAGAATAGATAGATAGTTTATCAGCACATGTCCTCCAGATCATATTATCTGCTTACAAATATAGCCTGTTAGCGCACAGGCCCGGGAGGCTCCGGGAAGCGCGGCCCTTCCACTGCGGGTGTTGCTCGCGGGTGTAAACAGCCTTGAAGCCGGATCGGCCCTGCGGCCAGACCGCAGACTGTCTGCGCCACCCGCACCAGGGAGGTGAGTGGCGGCCGGTCTCTGTGGCGGCGGCAGAGGGATGTTAGAGGAGCAGGTGGGTGGGCTGTCCTGCTGCGAGGGGAGAGACGTGTACCCTGCTGGATGGTTGCCGGTGGCCGCGCGCTTAGTGGCTCCGGTCTCCCCGGTGCACGGTGAGCTCAGCCAGATTGCTGACGGGACATCATCCCCCCAAACACTGCGGAGGTAGTCATCCATGTCTATTTTAGTTCAAGAACTAAAATTGAGTGGGGCACTGGGAGAGCGAATGGGGCTCGTAGGTGCCATCCGTGGGGCCCATCCGTGGGGCTGCTCCCGTGGCAGGGTCCCCACGAACCCTGCTCCTGGATGATGGGTTACTCTGAGCGCACTGCCCTAGTGTCCAAGGCTGAGCTCAATCTGCTCCAAAGTTCTGTCCAGGAGTGATAAATCAAATTTGTTTGTGTCTTTTTCAGGGCTTTGAGAAGTGATTGACACCTGATGGGAGCGGGGGTGGGGAGGCCGGGCAGTCTTTCCTTCCGGAAAGCTTCTCCCGCCCTCTGGCAGGGGGCGCGGAAGGGGTGGGGCGAGGGTGAAAAGTGATCCCAGGAGATTTAAGCAGCCCTGATGTGCCCACTGCTCTGCCGGGGTCTACCTACCAATCTCGTCTTGAAACTCACTAACCACGCAGGGTGAGAAAGCCCTGGATGGATGCCTATGGACCTTTAGGCTTTTATCGTACATTTGATTACTAAAGGTCTGTTATAATTTCTTTTCTTTAAATAATTGACCTTCCTGGTGCTAGACACCATCTAAAGCATTGAACTCAAACGATCACAGTTAGCTCTCTCACTAATTCTGTGAGCTGATGCTGTTGTTCCATTGTGTCCACATCAGAACGGGGAGGACAAGTCCTCAGGGACAGGCGACCAATAAGCCAGAGGCAGAATTCCAACCCAGGCAGTCTGACTCAGACTTGGTCTTCTTAATCCCATCTGTTCCCTGGCCTCCCCTGGCTTGAAACTCTAGTTTAACAAATTACCATCAAAATAATCTGGTGTTTTTTGGGGAAATTTGGATCCTGTAGCATAAAAGTTCATTCAATTCAGAATGTGGCTGCATTGTTTTGACTCTACTGACCTCACTTGGGTGTCATGTCCTGTCCCCCGCCCCCTTCGCCCTGCCTGTCACTTACTCCACTGTTTCACTTTTTCTTTTTTCTTTTTTGGTATTGAGGATTGAACTCAGGGGCATACGACCACTGAGCCACATCCCCAGCCCTATTTTAATAGTATTTTATTTAGAGACGGGTCTTTAGTACCTCCCCGTTGCTGAGGCTGGCTTTGAACTCGTGATCCTCCTGCCTCAGCCTCCTGAGCAGCTGGGATTACAAACGTGCGCTTCAGTGTCCAGCGCACTGTTTCTATGAGGAGCACATTCTGCCATCCAACTCTGGGGTCCAGGCAGTGGCTGTGTGTGAGGGAATGGAATTTGTGAGTTACACAAGCTCCTCTTATGGTCCCTATTACACCTTGGTGTCCCTAGCAATTCCTGGAGGCTACAGTCATTCTCTTGAGCTCAGCCAGGCTGTTGACGGGGTCTTCTCCATATGCAGGACACCCCTGAAAGGATGCTGTCGAAGGGCTGGAGCTGCTCAGCCTGAGGGAAGTTGGGAGAGGTGCTGGGGGCACCAAGGGACAGGTGGGTGGGGAGGTGCCTGGTTCAGGTGAACCCTGGTACCTGCTTTGTCTCCCTCCCTTCCTTTCTTTGCTCTTTTCTCTTTCTCAGCTTCACGTAGGGAGCACCAAAAAAAATGGTAGACTTGGTTGAGTCTCCTGTCAGACTCCCCCAGATTTTTCCTGTGCTGTCTGAGGTGCTAGCCTGACACCCACTCCGCACCCTTCCCCGCTGCGGCCCAGTCTGTCATTGGACAGAAAGCCTCCCCCTTCCCCCTGGCATATGACCTCTGAGTGAAGATCACAGATCTGGTGCCAGGGGACATATTTTTCCAGTCATGCCCTCTGGCTCCAGAGTGCAGATGGCTCTGTAGGCAATTCTGATATAACTCAACTGGGGAGGTGGGCAGGAAAGTCCTTCAACCAAACTTGTATGGATGGCCCTTTCCCCTTCCTGCTGGGTCTCTCTGGACCTCTCCTGTCCCCCACCACAGGGCATTGCTCTTCTGGCTCCTGCAGCAGTTGGTTCAGCCTCTGATGTCTAATCAGCATTTGGAGCTGAAATATTCCCTAGTGCACATATTCTCCCTAGATTGGGAACTTGGTCCTGTGGATGGACCTGCGCTCGTCTTTCTGCATTGACGTACATGTCAGTTACTGAGGGTTCCCAGGAATGGAAGGACAGAAACACACACCAAGTCACTGGCTCAGTGCATGTGTCTCTGTACTGAGGTTCAGAAACAGGAGCCTGGCATCCGCAGCCCTTGTAGGGCTCAAGCCTCCCTCCCCTCCGGGTCTTCCTATCTGCTGCTGGGTGACCTGCTTGGTGTTGACAGGGGACTCCTGTCAGTGAGCTGTGGTTTTTCTATGGTTTGGTTCATGGACAGATAAAACGTAACAACACCCACAAAAATCAAATAATTTGCATTAAGTTCTGTGAAGTAAATAAATAACAGATGGAGAAAATAAGAGGAGACTCTCTCCTTGAAATGGGGAGGCCGGGAAGGCCAGACTGAGGAGAGATCCCCAAAGTTTAGAGGGTGTGTGGAGGAAGCCATGTGTGTAGGGAAGGGTGTGGGGAAGGGCATCCGAAGCTGAGGGGACCTTGTAAACAGGGAGGAATGGAGGAAGTGTGGGGAGGACCAGCACTTCCAGCGCCTGTCTACCTGCCAGCTGCGCCTTGTGCAGACGGAGCCCCGTGCTGGTTGCCATCTACACACTGGAGACTGTTGTTGGCAACTGCCAGGCAACGAACAATGAAATCTCAGCTCAGGAGTTGGGACTTAGGAGGTGACCTTGCCTCCAGCCAGCTGTCCAACTTGATTGAGATGCCTGGAGGGGAGATCACATGGTCACCTACCTGGAGGTCAATGGGGCAGAGGGTGGGAACTGACAGCAGCAGACATCCTCCAACCCCCTCCCCACCTCTCTGCCCACCAGGTCTGCCAAGGCTTTCCCCACAGGGCTCACTGCCCCTGTCCTGAGAATGTCTCTAGCAGGTGGCAATTGGTGGTCACATGTCTAGAACTGGAGTCCTGAGAGTGTGGAACAAACCGTCATTGCTGTTTCCCTCTGCAGCCCTTTTGATGCTTCTCCTCAGAACAGGTTTTCTGGCTGGAGGACTGAAAAAGGGAGGTCCAGGAATCTGGAAAGCATCAGAGAGAAAACGGAGCCAGGAAAAAGCAATTTTGTAAGGTTGTTTATGAACTCCTGGGCTGCTCATGAACCTGAACAGGAAGCAGGTCACCGCCCACATTCCAGACTGGTCACTGGATGGTGCACACGGAATTTAGCTGAGTGCATTGCCAAGACTGAAAGTGAAGGGACATGGGAATCACAGGAGGCAGATTGGAATTGTGCCTTCACTCAAGTATATTCATTTATTTGGTACCAGAGGCTGAACCCAGGGGTGCTTAACCACTGAGTCACATCCCAACCCTTTTTGTTTTAAGACAAAATTAAATTGCTGTGGTTGGCTTTGAACTTGGGATCCTCCTGCTTCGGCTTCCCAAAAGCCTTTTTTCTTATGGAGGTTTAATATAACTAAGGAGTTACATCTACTATTCTACTGAAGAGACTATGTCTGTGTGTGCGCATGTGTTTGTGTGTGCTGTGATTAATTCATTTAACTTATCGTATAGTATATGACAATCTGATGGAAAGATTAGATGCATATACCAGAAAGTTCCATAGAGTGTGGAGCCATGGGGCTTGGAGAATGCCCGAGGGGCTTTGGGAAGCCAGCTGAGGTGTAGGGGACAGATGTGATGCCCTAGAGGAGCTGGCTTAGGGTGAGTGTTGAATTATGACTTGTGTACAAAGAGTATTACCTGACCATAAGAAACTGCCATTCTGGAAGTCCTAAGGGCATGCCATCATTATTTAAGGCAGGCAATTTCATTCATATTTCATTTTTAAAGTTCACGTTAAAATTATTTTCTTCTGTGTGCCTGACATATGTATTTTTTTTTTTCAAATAGGTAATTTCATGCTGCCACAATGGGACATAAAGTGGTGGTGTTTGACATTTCTGTTGTCAGAGCCTTGTGGGAAACTCGTGTCAAGAAGCACAAAGCTTGGCAGAAGAAGGAGGCGGAAAGGCTCGAGAAAAGCGCCTTGGAAAAGTATGTGTTTTTGTGCCTGTTGTTCTTGCTTGTTTAGTGAATGACATTCAGGCAGGCCACTGTCGCCTTGGAGGAAGATGCTTTTCCTCTGGGATTTCTCCCTGTCTGCAATACTTTCCTCGTTGAACTTCAGAACCCTGATGCTGTTGCTGAACACATGCGCACTCAGCTTCTTAACAGAAACACCCATAATTGCAAGAACCTACATATAATCCAAGCACCATGTTAGACCAGGGGAGACAGGGATGCCCTGGCCATTCCTCTACTGCCAAATGCCATAGACGGTGCTTAGCCAGCCTTCACTGAGCTCACTCACGTAGCTCTCTGATGCTCTCGGCTCTAGCTATGTCTACTGGTGCCCCTGGGGCATCTAGCTCTCTGTCATGCCTCACCTGTTGAGCTGGATCTAGGTAAGATTCATTTGGCACATTTACTTAAATTGAAGTGATGCAATCGGATGAACTTTCATATAAACTCCTAAAGTATGAGTCAAAGAAAATTATGGACACAAAAACTAAGTTGAGTTAGTGTTTTGGAAAAAGTGCATTCATGGAAGATATGAATTTATGGTGTTGTAGGGACAGATGAGGCAAGGCACCGAAGATAGCAGGAAACAGTTTTATTTGGCTGTAGCCAGGTTCAGAGGGCACAGCTTTTGCTGTAATCAATCAGTCCCCTGAACCCTTAGTTCAGGTGGTTTCAGAATTTTATACCCAGCATGTAAGGGGAGGGGCTCAGAAGTTCACAGTCTGCAGAAGTTCACATAAAAGCAGCTTTTTCTGTCACTGTTTTGGGCAAGTTAACCATTCAAGGTCAACACTTGAGAAGGGGAGAGCTTCTTCTCCCCTTTCTTTCCTCCCCCTGCCAGCTGTTACCGTGGAGCCCAATTTGTATCTTCTCTTATCTTAAAAATGTAGACATCTCTGTGAAGCCCAGCTCAAGGCCAGAGGCCTTGTTTACACATTTCTACAAACTACTATACTGGATACAAGTTTGTGAAAAACCAGTAAGGGGGTGTCCAGCACCTGGAGTGTTGATTTCTTCCGGCCGGTGGCCAAGTAAAACAGGGCGACATGAAAATAGGAAGTTTATCCACGTTGAACTCTTTTGCAGTCAATCCCAAAATCAGCCATGGTGAAGATTTCTGGAGAATCCCATTTAAGACTTTTCTGTGAAGGAAGGGGGTGCCACTACAATGGTAGATTATATAGTGCCAATTAGCAGCGTACAAGATTGATAAATGTATGAGAAGGCGAAAGGTGACTTTGCATATGTGTATAACTTTTATTCTGTGAAGAAATCCAAACCAGAACTCTCGGATGAGGCACTGTGGGTGTGGTTAAGGTGAAATGAGATTCTGATTGGTTGACTAGTTCTCAAAGAAGTCCAGACTCACATCTAGTTGGCAAGTGGTGGTATATTTGTCCTCCTTAAGTAAGTGACAAAAGGTATAAACACCTCTACACAGTTCACACAGGTAGGATTGACTCTGGATTAGGCTCAGTGTCATTTGGTTTGTGCTGTGCCTCATTTCAATCTAAGACAAAAACCTTCTTGGGGATTTTTAGGCTTTTCCAGCTCAAGGTAAGAAGAGCAGCCCCGAAGTTGGTGGGGCAGGTGAAGAGGAACATGGTGTAGGAGTGTGGAGGGAAATGGGATGTTCAAGAAAGAAATTTTTAGTTTCACAGAACCTTTAGCAACGGTGGAAATAAATTTCTCTTCTTTATAGTTGTATTTGTGTTTCTATAATATAATTCATGATTGTTAGTACTATTTGAAAGTTAACTTAGTTTTTTCTTAGAGTCTGTTTCCTGTACAGAAATTAATATATTAAAAACACTGATAAACAGGGCGCGGGGGTGCACACCTGTAATCCCAGTGGCTCTGGAGGCTAAGGCAGGAGGATCTCAAGTTCAAAGCCAGCCTCAGCAGTGGTGCTTTGCAACTCAGTGAGACCCTGTCCCTAAATAAAATTCAAAATAGGGCTGGGGATGTGGTTCAGTGGTTAGTGCCCCTGAGTTCAGTCCCCAGTATCAAAAAACAAAAACAAACAAAAACCCCCAAAACACAACAACAATAAACTGATGAATGCCTGATCGTAAAAGGCAATTAACTTGTTAGCTTAAATTTACTAAAATATGTAAAATCCTCCAACTTGTTCTGCTACTTCTCTTCAGAGTATTTATTTCATTTTATACTGCTGTATTTGTCTCATGAATTACATATCAACTCTTAAAAGTTGTAGAGATAAAGTACAGAAAACCACTCCATCTAAATGAAACTTAATCATTTAGAGGGAGAAATAAAAGAGCTATTGCCAGGTTCTGAGTGAAGAATTTTTTAGCCAATGAGGGCATTTGCCAGCGGGGCTTGGATCGTGGGCTCATTTCCTAAGGAAAAAAATATTTCAATACACATTTATTGATTTAATGAGTAGAGCTTGCTGGATGCAGGGGCCATAATCCCAGACACTTGGCTGGCTGAAGCAGGAGGATTGAAAATTCGAGGTAAATCTCAGCAACTTGGCCAGGCCTTGTCACAACATAAAAAATTAAAAGAACCACATCCCCAGCCCTATTTTACATTTTATTTTATTTAGATTGTTGGTGCTCAGTGGTAGAGCACCCCTGGGTTTAATCTCTAGTATCAAAAATTTAAAAATAAACAAATAAATAAAAATTAGTAGAACACTCTAATGGCATTTGTTTTGTAAATTTATCTCAAATTTGAAGTTCTATGAAAATTAATTCTGGAGAAGATTTCAGATTCAATTATATGGGTGATAAAGCATAAACTTAATGACATTTTATTTATTTTAATTACTCAAGGAAGAGAATGGAAATTTAAGAAATAGTTTATATTCTCATCGTGACTTTTCTTTCATTAGGTTTCAGAAGCAATAAGACAAAACATTTCAAAAAGAAACACAAAGTGTATTTGGTATATAATCCATTCTGAATGGGGTTTGTCTAATTTCCCTTTCTCCATTTGCATTGGTTATACAAAATCTGTGAAATATTTATATCAATTTGCAATTAGTGACATAGGAAAGATGTATTATATAGGGCTTAACAGCCGCCATCTCATTCCATTGCCAAAATTTACCTTAAAGTTCGGTTTAACACAACAGACACTAGTATGGCAATATGTAAATCAATGGATGTGTAACTGATGTGATTCTGCAATCTGTATATGGGGTAAAAATGGGAGTTCATAACCCACTTGAATCAAAGTGTGAAATATGATATATCAAGAAATTTGTAATGTTTTGAACAACCAACAATAAAAAAATTAAAAATAAAATAAAAATAAAAAAAAAAAGTTCGGTTTAAGAAACAAGGCAAGAAAAGTTAGAGACATGAATCGAGAAGAGTTCTGTGAATACAGCAATTTACAGTGGTGGTGCTATTGGTCATTAACATTTTGGAGGGATCACTTTTTTTTTTTGTATTGGGAATTGAACCCAGTGCTTAACCATTGAGCCACATTCCCAGCCATTTTTTTTTTTTTTTTTGGTGGTGCTGGGAATTGAACTCAGGGCTTTGTGCATGCAAGGCAAGCACTCTACCAACTAAGCTCTATCCCCAGCCCACCAGCCATTTTTTGTATAATATTTAGAAGCAGGGTGTCGCTGAGGGCCTTGCTGAATTGCTGAGGCTGGCTTTGAACTTGTGATCTTTCTACCTCAGCCTCCTAAACTGCTGGGATTTTAGGCATGAACCACTGCTCCAGGCCCAAATTGCTTCTCAAGACCTTGGTGGCCATTCCCCCAGAGAGTGACTGTGGCCTCTGCTCCTGTTTCAGGATAAAGGAGGAGTGGAACTTCGTTGCCGAGTGCAGGAGGAAGGGCATCCCCCAGGCTCAGTACTGTAAGAATGGCTTCATAGACACCAGCGTGAGGCTTCTGGAGAAGATCGAGAGGAACTCGCTCTCCAGGCCGAGCTTACTTGCCAAGGACAAAGGCAAGCAGAGCAACCCATTTGTGTTTGAACTTTCGGGGGAGCACTGGAAGGTGAGTGCAGCCCACTGTCTGCAGGAAGTGGGAGTAACCTGAGCCCCAGGCCTTGGCCTTTAGACAGCTTTCCAGTGGGTAAGCAGGAGCCCATTACCTGCTGTGGACTGGGTTTGCCCATCTTTTCCTCTGAGAAATGGCAGCATAGAAAAGAACAGCAGGATCCTCTTGGACCTCTCTAAGGCTGGGCAGCTGGGACCTTGTGGCCCTCCCTAGGTCAGCATAGTCTATATTTAAAAAAATTTTTTTTTTTTTTTTTTAGTACTAGAGATTGAACCTCATGGTGCTTAACCACTGTTCCACATCCCCAGCTCCCCCAGTTTTAAAAAATTATTTATGTATTTATTTTACAGCAGAGTACATTTTGACATATTGTACACAAAAGGAGCACAGTTTCTCATTCCTCTGGTTGTACATGGTTCAGGTTCATTTGGCTTGTGTAATCATACATGTGTATAGGGAAATAATGTCTGTCTCCTTCTACTGTCCTTCCCATCCCCTGACTCCCTCTGCACAATCCAAAGTTCCTTCATTCTTCCCTTATCCCCACCCCCCTTGTCCCTGCCTCCACCAAATGTTTTCTGATAAACTGATGTCCCTGGATCAGCATCAGTTTATCAGAAAACATTTGGTCTTTGGTTTTTTTGGGATTGGCTTATTTCACTTAGCATGATATTCTCTAGTTCCATCCATTTACCTGTAAATGCCATAATTTCATTTTTCTTTAAGACTGAGTAATATTCCATTGTGTATAGGTACCACATTTTCTTTATCCATTCATCCATTGAAGGACATCTAGTTTGGTTCCATAGTTTCACTATTGTGAATTGGAGCTGCTATAAATATTGATGTGACTGTGTCATTGTAGTATGTTGATTTTAAGTCCTTTGGGTATAAGCAGAGGAGTGGGATAGCTGGGTCAAATGGTGGTTCCATTCCAAGTTTTCTGAGGTATCTCCATAGTGCTTTCCACAGTGGTTGTACAAATTTGTAGTCCCACCAACAATGTGTGAATGTACCTTTTCCTCCACATCCTCACCAACACTTATTATTGCTTGTATTCTTCATAATTGTCCCCAGCACTTTTTATTTAGACAAGGGTCTCTCTGTGTTGCTTAGGACCTTGCTAAGTTGCTGAGACTTTGACTTTGACTTTGTGATCCTCCAGCCTCAGCCTCCTGGGTGGCTGGGATTACAGGCCTTGTGCCACCGTGCCCAGCATCGCTTTTTGTACTTTAAATAAGAACTGGTTTCAGGGGCTTTGTGCACACCGAGGACTGGTTCTGATCCACGTCATTCATTCTCTTAGGAGCTGCCTGACTCGTTGAAGGAGCAGACACACCTGAAAGAATGGCACATTTGCAATACCCTGATTCAAATCATTCCTACATACATTGAGCTGTTTCAAGCAATGAGAATTCTGGATCTGCCAAAAAACCAAATCTCATGTCTTCCAGCTGAAATTGGTATGTGTAGCAGGAAACTCCAGCGCTCTTGTCTGTGGTAAGCAGGAAGCTATTGGGCAGGTGACACTGTGCCAATACTGGGTTTCCTCCTCTAAGTGCTTAAGTATGTCACTTAAGTATGTCATTGGGCTATTCCAGGGGTCTCAGAGCTTTGTGTTCACAGTGTCCCCATGGGCTTCCGTGCTGTGATCTCACCTGCACCACTAAGCTCATAGAGATGTTGGCCAATTGCTCAGAAGGTAGAGGTCTCATAAGTGAACAGAGATTTGCTTAGGAAACTTTTGTTTATCTTCTTTTAGTTTTAGAAATACAAATGTACAGAATTGTGGTTATTGTATAAAGAATTTAAATATATTTTTTCGATATAAATTTAGTTTAGATGATGATGATGATGATGATTCTGGGAATTGAACCCAGGGGTGCTTTACCACTGAGCTACATCCCTGGGCTCTTTTTTATTTTTTTCTTTTGAGACAGAAATCTTGCTAAGTTATTGAGGGTCTCACTAAGTTGCTGTGACTGGCCTCCAAGTTGCAATCTTCCTGCCTCAGCCTCCATTGTCATTGGGATTACAGGCATGTGCCACGTGTCCGGCATTATTATGTCTTTTTGATAGGTTAGAATTTTATAATTCTCAATAATTTCATTGCTCAGTTGCATTATCTTCAAATGAAGACAACAGTGATCATTTTTGCCCATCTTTCTCCTGGCGTGTGAGAAGCAAAGGTCTCGGGGCTACACTCTCACAATCCACACTGTAGGCCCAGTGAAGTGACATGGTCACCTGAAAATTTGTTGGAAACGAAGACAGAATGGGTCAGAGGTGGCTTTTCAGGCCTCTGGTGTTTGCACATACCTTACCAGGTGTGTCAAGACCACAAGGCCCCTGAACACCCTCTTACCCAGCCTGATCTCAGGATTATTTATGCCGTTGCTAACTTTGAAGGATGAGGTGACGTCTCCCCCAGAGAGCAGGCTTGCTGGCTGCTTGCTGTAAAAGCCCTGTGTTTCCTGAGCTTGGTGTTCTTTAGAGTTACGTGTGCAGAATCTTCCTGGGTCATCTGTATCACCCTGGGTGGACTTGATTATAAAGGGAACCCACGTACGTGTGCTGTCTCTTCTACTAGTGATCCACAAAGCAGGGGAATAGTGTGAAGTCAAAGTCAAGACAAGGCAAGGTCAATGCCTCTATTCCTTGCCTGGTTTCTGGAAAAACAGACAGGAGCTTGGAAGTTTTAGTGCCGAAAAGTTCTAACTTTGACATAAAGGGCCGTTTATCTCCTGCCCCTTCATTTTATAGATTGGAGAAAGCAAGTTCTAGGGAGGTCAGGTGACTTGGCCACCATCACTCAGCTTTTGACTTGAGGACTTCTTGAGAGCCTGGTCCAGAGGCCAGATTTTACCATTTCCAGCTCATTTGGGGGCAGGCTCACAGTGCTTATTAGTGACTTAATATAGTTTTTTTTTTTTTGGTGGTGATAGGGCACTTATCCACTAAGCCACATCCCCACCCTTTTTTAATTGATTTATTTTGAGATAGGGTCTCACTAAGTTGCCCAGGATGCCCTGGATCCTCCTGCCTCAGCCTCCTGTCTCTGGGATTACAGGCGGGTGCCAACAAGCCTGGCTTGCTTTTGTTCTTAAAGACCCTGAAGGACTGACTCACGGGAGCTTAATTTTTTCTGATGCCAGGTCGTTTGAAGAACCTGAAAGAACTCAATGTGAGTTTCAACCATCTGAAGAGCATTCCTCCAGAACTAGGGGACTGTGAAAATCTAGAAAGACTGGACTGTTCTGGAAATCTGGAATTAATGGAGCTCCCATTTGAAGTAAGATGCAAACATTTCTGCTTTGTGATTTAAATTTCATTCAGTTCTCCATAGGAATGGTCCATGGTGTGGGCAAGAATTTTTAGAAGATAAAATCCATCACATTTTTCTGACATTTCAATTACTTTATGCCCATAATCATAACATCTTTAAAAATGTTATGAAACTAACCCAGGGCCTACATTTAAGTTTAGAAATGCTATTTTCACACAAGCTATTTTAATTTTATGCCTATTTAATATCTGATGCCTGTCGTCTCTGATGCAGATCCTGATTTATTTCTCCACCACGGCTAAACTGCAGATAAATCCAGGGGTAAAACAATTTTTCATATGCTCCTAGCTGAACTTGTAGATGTCTAGAATTGTCATAGGATTCAAGAAATGTACAGAATTTTAAAAAAGATTCATTTATTTCTTTTGGTCTGTGTTCAGGGAGAAATGATTTTGAATAATTTTTTGATAAAATGGAGAAGATAAAAGTATACAGGTTTTAATTGTCAAATAAAACTCAATGAGTTTCCTGTGCTGAAATGGTGAAAGGGTCATACAATTCTGCCAGTGAGGAATGGGCTAAAAATGATTATTACTAGTGAGGTCCTGACAGCCCAGCCACCCAGGAAGCGTGTTATTTCCTTTCCTGGGTGGGAGGACGTGGCTGCTTCTGCTGTTAGTACCCATCTCAGTCCAGACAATGTCTGATGCGTGTCCCTGTGAGGGTGCAGAGTTTTGGATTCCCTGCACAGATCCGCTTATCCTCTAGTCTTCCCCAATCCAGGAATGGCTCATTCTTCACTTGGATGTTCTGGCTAAGTACATCAATTCATCCTTGATCTCTCTTGCTCCCATGAGCCATGTATAATCTAAACAAATCCCGTCCAGCCGATCCTTCAGAGTATATCATGTCTGACCACTGCTCATTCATAACCTTTCCCCTAGCACCCTGATCCACCCCAGAGCTGTCTATCATCTGGACTGGGGCAATACCCTGGTAGGCTGCTGTCTCCACCCCTTCTTCTACTCCCCACCCCCCTTCATTGAGGTATGATGTACATGTCATAAAATTTACCCATCCTAAGTGTATAGTTCACCATGATTCAGTTTTAGGATATTTCCTTCACCTATCCCCAAATTTTCCTTTTGCCTACTTGCTATTATTCCCTGCTCTGCCCTCAGCAGTAGGCAACCACAAATCTGTTCATATTTCTGTGAAGCTTATCTTTTCTGGAAATTTCCTAGAAATGGAAATCATGCTGTAGTTTTCTGAGTCTGACTTCTTTCCCTTAGCATGATATTTTTGAAGTTCTTCATTCATGTTATAGCACATATGGATTGAGGGAAGGGTCTAGATTTTGTTTTGTTCCCACCCCTCCTTTTTTTATTTATGAAAGTAGAAGCTCCCTGAGGGCAGCCACAGTGCGTCGTTTATCTTGGAAACCCAGGAAAAGATCCATAGGAGATGCTTCAAAATACATACTGGATTGGTCTGCTTTGCATCGATTCCTGGAGATGCCTTTGAAAAAGAAATGTCAATCTAAAAATTATCAATCGAACTTAATTCCCACTCTTATAACGGTAATTAGAATATTTTGTTATTCCTTTCTAGCTAAGTAATTTGAAGCAAGTTACATTCGTAGATATCTCAGCAAACAAGTTTTCCAGTGTCCCGATCTGTGTCCTGAGGATGTCTAATTTGCAGTGGCTGGATATCAGCAACAATAACCTGAATGACCTGCCACAAGATATAGACAGGTAGCTACTTGCCTGCCGAAGGTGAGGTATATGAATCAGTTACTAACGCCTTAACTCTGTGAACATTGTTAAGATGCATGACACTTGAATATGCTTTGAATCAATTAATTAATCATTTAATCAATCAATCAATTAATTTTTCAGAGTGTATTGCTCCTAGGAAATTATAGAATAAAACAATTTCTAATTGGCATCACACATGTATATGGATACATGCATTTGAGTACCTCTTCACTGTCTTGGCGAACTGTAATTTGCTTCATTCTTTCATAAAACAACACCATTACCTTTCCATTACTCCATAGAAGTAGAAAATGATTACATATAAAATAGAAACCTATCACTCTATATTTAGAATATTAGTGAGGACAATATTTATTATTTTCATTTACTGATTTTTTTATATACAATCTTTCAAACAACCAGTATGCTTGTTTTCAAACTGTATCCTTGTAGTTATTTCATGTTCACAAAATAATTATTATACTAAAATATATAAGACTGATTGATTGATCGATTAATTTCACCAATATTATCAGGCTCCCATGAGTGGGCTGTGTTTAAAGTGCTAAATGGAACACAATCTCTGGCCTCCTGAATCTACAATCTTATTTATCAAGAGACAGAAGTAAGCTCTTAGGACAGAGGCCAGCAATGGCTGGGGCCTGAGTGCCACCCCAGATGACATTTCCTACTCCTGTACATACAATGTGTAGAATGCTGTCTATGGCATGAGAAGACAGAGCTCAGAGAATTTTTGATGAGAATAACTGGGGACAGTCTAAGTTTGAAACATGAGAGGAACTTTGTGAAATATTTGTGGGATTAGTCACGACTTTGCAAATGAATGAAAGAAAAATCCAGGGAACAGGATTTCTGGACAAATGGAGGGAGGGTCAGTGAGTTAGAATAAAATGGAAAACAGTTAAATATATTTGGAAAATATTTTGCTCATTTCCTTTTCACTCTGCGGTTGTCTTCCCATTTTAGTGTGAGAATATAATGGTGGGAGAAGAGTAACCATGCTTCTAAACTGTGCGAAAGGAAATCTGTTTCCAAAATCTGTTTGTTCTCATTCTAACACTGGTGTGATTTCTTTCCTGTGCTCTGTTGGCCCTTGGAAATCCAGGAGACACGGAGAGGAAGGGATATACTGGTTTTTGAGGCCCCATGGTGACCTACTGTGAATTGTACAATGTATTTATCCTGCTTTTTATTCATTTTTTTGGGGGGTACCAGGGATTGAACCCAGGGGTGCTTTACCACTGAGCCACATCTCCAGTCCTTTTTCATATTTTATTTAGACACAGGGTCTCACTGAGTGGCTCAGGCCTTGCTAAGTTGCTGAGGTTGGCTTTGAACTTGTGATCCTCCTGCTTTAGCCTCCCAAGCAGCTGGGATTACAGGGGTGCACTACCATGCCCAGCTACCTTGCTGCTTTATCTGTGTCTTCCACTGGTGATTAAGTCAGCAAAAACTTTAAAAAAAAATCATGTTATCCGGTGTGGTTTTATTTATTTATTTATTTAAAATGTAAAGTTTAGCTTGTTCTCATATCCATCACATAGATGGAATCTGCTCAGTAGGGGTTGCCTTCTGGAATCTGTAATTGGCTAGGAGGCCAAGCCCTTGTGTTCTGATCCTCTCTACTTCTCCTCAGGCTGGAAGAACTGCAGAGCTTTCTCTTGTATAAGAACAAGTTGACCTACCTCCCATACTGCATGCTGAACCTCAAGAAGCTCACCTTGCTGGTCGTCAGTGGGGACCATTTGGTGGAGCTCCCAACTGCCCTTTGTGACTCTTCCACGCCATTGAAGTGAGTAGACCAGAGATCCTGGTAGACACAGTCAGACACAGGGAGAGAGCAAAGAGTCTCCAGAGCCTGGGAGCCTGTCTCCAGAACCAGATTAGATGGTTCTCCTCCCTAGAGAACCTGATCCCAGTTTGCTTTTCACTGGATTTGGAAGTTTGGTGCACATGGCATGAGAAGATAGAGCTCAGGGAACCAGGGAACAGGATTTCTGGACAAATGCTACTTGCTGATTGAAGGCATTGGGAGACGGATGCCAGGAGCCCCCTGTTGCTCAGCACAGACACGGCTGTTGTCCCTGCGGGGTCAGCCACTGTTCACGAAACCCTCCCTGGGTGCCTTGTCCTTTTGATTCCCTAAACGAACCCATAAACCACCCCAAGCTAAGATAAATCATCCATGCAAATGTGATACAAACAGACTGGGATCTGGGGGAGACATAGTCTTTCTTATCCTGGTCGTGGAAGCCCCAGCTCCATCATTCCCTCAAATGACTCTGAGATACCTGGTGTGACTCCCTGGAGCACATCCTGCCAAAATTTGGAGCTGAGGGGTTTCCCCTATCACTTCTACCCTGAGACCATTTTGGAGCCTTAGCAGCTTGGAGCCTTTCCCGAACCTTCACCCGGGGAAGCTCTGGCGAGAACCACCTTCTCTCTGTGTCCAGAGACCCATCTTCTGTGAAGGCCACAGGTTCTCTCTCACTGGTAAATGCTCACTATCAACGTAGAGTTAAGTCTTCCTTATCTCTCTGTCACTGCAGTAAGACATGTGGCAAACAAATACAGAGGTTTAACTACTGGGAAGTGAGAGACCCATTTCATGTCTGTGTAAATGCAAGATTAGTAGAGGTACAAGACATTCCCCACCTGTTCCGTTCTATTCCTTCCCCTGGAATAGGTCTTCCAGGGTCCTCCTCCACTATGTTAGGAATGTTGTTTGGGGAGAAGATCACTGGTGAGACAGGTAGGAGGATCCAACCCATTTGGGCACCAGGGAACAGTCTTGGCAACTTTGCATCCGAGAGAAGTCAGGGTAAAACCATCGCATCACTGAAACAACTTCCAATAGTGTAGTTGTAGGATTTGGCAATCTCAGAATAATGGATGAAAGCTCTTTGAATTGACGGATGTTCAATAAAAAGATTAGATACAGGCTGGGCATGGTGGCACACACCTATAATCCCAACAATTTGGGAGGTTGATAAAGGAGCATTGCTGAGGCTGGCTTTGAACTTGTGATCCTCCTGTCTCAGCCTCCCGAGCTGCTGGGATTATAGGCGTGAATCACTGCTCTCTGCAAAGGTTGGCTTCTAACGTTAGGAATTTTTTGCTTAAACATGAACAGTTGGAAATGTGGTATTTTCCATGCTTTCTTGAATAGATTCATAAGTCTGATGGATAATCCTATTGATAAGGCCCAGGGTCAAGATGGTGATGAGATAATGGAAAGTGAACAGGAACGGCAACATTTTGATAAAGAATTTATGAAAGCCTATATTGAGGATCTTAAAGAAAGAGGTGAGTTGCTCATATTTAAAATTATCTAAAACAAATATGAAGAATTCCACTGATCATACAATATATTTATTAACATAAATCATATTGACAAAAAGTTCATTGATGAGGGAGTCAGGTTACTCTGTAACCATTTACTCCTCACCAAAGAACCCAAATGATAAATTTCCTTAAAAATCATCCTTGAATGATGGACACATCATCAAGTACTGGGCAGAGAGGCTGAGAAACATACACTCGAGATGTAAGGGCTCTATTATTAACTATTTGTGGGTTTTAAACTAAATCATATTTGCAAAACAACATTCTATGCTAATGGGAAAATAAATGATTCCATTTCAAAAGTCTGCTTACATTTTTGGAAAAAGTTATATCATCTAAATCAAAAAATACCTGTGTAAAGAACACAAAAAGAGCCAGGCACGGTGGTGCATGCCTGTAACCCCAGTGGCTCAGGAGATTGAAGTAGGAGGATGGTGAGTTCAAAGCCAGCCTCAGCAATGGTGAGGAGCTAAGCAACTCAGTGAAACTCTTGTCTCTAAATAAAATACAAAACAGGGCTGGGGATGAAGCTCAGTGATTGAATGTCCCTGAGTTCAATCCTCACTACCCACCCCCCACCAAACAACAACAACAAAACAAACTCACACAAGGAAAAATGCAAGATGCCTAATAATCACTGCTTAATTTTCCAGTTCTTTAATAGTCCAGGTGCAAGCCTCACAGAATTTAGGGAGGAGTTTGTGTGGACTCCACTGCCTTTGGGGATGGGCACTGTGGGCAGGTTGCCCTAGCCCCCCTCAGGAGACACCATGAATGTGAGCACTCTTCCCCCTCATTAGCAGGTGTCTGAATAATTAGTCATTCATACACTCAGAGATTTCATTGACATTAATGAAAAATGCCATTTATTTGGCAAACTAAAAAACTTTAACAAAATGAAGATAATTTCTATTGCTACCTCTAATCTATTTCTATTGCTACCTCTAATCTGGCTCTTCCTAATCTCAAGTGCTGAATTATTCTGAAATAAAGTAGAAATTTATGCAAAATATGAAACCTAAGCCCAGCACAATGGTGCACACCAGTAATCCCAGTGATTCAGGAGACTGGGGAGGGATGATTCCAAATTTGAGGCCAGATTCTGCTGGTGAGCCCTGTCACTAAAAAAAAAAAATAATATATATATATATATATATATATATATATATATAGGCTGGACCAGGCTGGGGTTGTATCTCAGTGCACATGTGAGGCAGTAGGTTCAATCCTCAGCACCACATTAAAATAAATAAAATAAAGGTATTGTATCTATCTACAGCTGGACAAAAAGGGGTGTGGGGGGTGGTGATACTGGGGGTGTGGCTCAGTGGTTAAGGGCCTGTGGGTTCAATCCCTGATACCAAAACAAAACAAAAAAACTTTATTGTTATCTTTATTATTACTTTATTCATTTTTTATATTTAGTGCTATTATGTAAAAATACAAGAAAGAACTAGAGGATATGGATATGAAGTTTTGAATCTATGAGAATAGAAATAATAATTCACTTCTAAAGTCAATCAGTTAAAACTTATTTATTATTCAGTAGTTATTAATAGTGACAAAAATATAGAAATGTATTTACTTAAATGAAATACCTTATTTATGGGGCTGGGGATGTGGCCCAAGCGGTAGCGCGCTCGCCTGGCATGCATGCAGCCCAGGTTCGATCCTCAGCACCACATACAAACAAAGATGTTGTGCCCGCCGATAACTAAAAAATAAATATTAAAAAAAATTTTCTCTCTCTACCTCTCTCTCTCTTTAAAAAAAAAAAAAAAGAAATACCTAATTTATGAAAGATACTTGTTTTTTAAAATTACCTTTAGTGATGATGAGTTTTGATCCATTCACTTATTTCTGAACAATTGTAATAATTTGATCCTTTGTAAATATATTCATATTAGGTTGAATCAAATGATATTGCTAATATTCAGCTAGCTTTGACCTACGGAAATGGCAATTTCTTTTTCTTTTCTTTTTTTTTTTTTTTGGTGGTGCTGGGGATTGAACCCAGGGCCTTTTGCATGTGAAGCAAGCACTCTGTTGACTGAGTTATATCCCCCCAACCCAAGAAATGGCAATTTCTTAAAGTCCAGTTAGATATGGTAATGTGTGTGCTTTGAATTTTTAAAAATTCTTTTGCATTCATTCATTCATTCATTCGTTTATTTTGGTACCAGGGATTTGATCTAGGGGTACTTAACCACTGAGCTACATCCTCAGCCCTTTTTAATATTTTATTTAGAGATAGGGTCTCCCTGAGTTACTTTGAGCCTTGCTAAGTTGCTAGAGTGGCTTTGAACTTGAAATCTTCCTGCCTCAGCCTCCCAAGCTGCTGGGATTACAGGCATGTGCCACCGCACCCCAACTGTTTGCTTTTCTTTATCTCAGTCTTCCCTTTTTTCTCTCCTTCCCCATCAGTCATAGAATCCATGTCTATCAGCAGAAAACACTAGAGTCTGCCAGTCCACCTGGACCTACAACCTCTGTGGTCTGAGGTTGATGAGGAGCTTGAAGCCCTCACTGTTCCTTGAACTCTAGAGGACCTTACACTGGAGTTTGGACTCTGGCTCTGTGGTGGGGTCTGCACAGGAGCATTTCTAACAAGCTCCCGGGTCGTGTTGGTGCCTTCGGTCTGAGACAACCCACATTTCTGAGAACCATTGGTACAGAACATCCTTGGACAAAATTTCGCTGTGAAGACCGAGGGATGGGGCAGTAACTAGTGGAAAGAGCAAGGCAGAGAGAAGGTGCACTTATTAAGGTCATGCTTGGATTAGGGATAGCCCAAATTTCTCTCATAAACCAGCCTTCCTTCCACCTGATACCTGTAGTCCCTGGTCTTTGCCCATCTATTTCGATTTTTATTATTTCAACTTTTATTATTATAGGGCTATATACTTTCTAAATCCTTGACACAGCTGTGTTAGTTGTTTGGAATGATTGCCAAGGACAAGATTTTTTTTTTTTTATATTTTATTTTTTAGTTTTTGACGGACACAACATCTTTGTTTGTATGTGGTGCTGAGGATCGAACCCAGGCCGCACGCATGCCAGGCGAGCGCGCTACCGCTTGAGCCACATCCCCAGCCCCAAGGACAAGATTTAATGATTTCATCTTACATGTAAACATTCCTAAGCTTGGCTACCCATTAGTGATGGTTAACTTAATGGTGATGGATTCATTATTCACCACTTAGACATTATCTATGCTTAAAATATTAAGTAGCAATAATAATAAAAGGGTGAATGACTAATGAAGTATTTATTTATTTTTCTCCTCATAGAATCTGTGCCCAGCTATACCACCAAGGTATCTTTTAGCCTTCAACTTTAACATCATCCATCAGAAGACTGCAAAATCTCACCATCCTGTGGAGCTTTACAACTTTGTGCATAGGTCATGTCACATAGAAATCATGGCTTGTGTTTTAGGACAAAGTCTATTAACCACTGTCATAGTCATTAAGAAAAATAATTTTCAAATTTCAAGTATATGAATATCTTCCTCTATGGGCTCAAGAATTGATAAATTAGTTTATATATTGGTATTTATAGGTTCATTTGCATACAATTGTTTCTAAATAATGCACATTTAATATTATAGAAGGTTTTTTTGTAAAATTATAACTTAATGACCAAATTCTGACACTGAATGCATTGTTTTCAGAAATCAAGGGGTAAAGGATCGTGAAAAGAGCCTTCATATTGGACGAGTCAGATCATAGTTTTGTTATTTGAAAATGTTTAATACATTTTTTCTTTTACTGAGAGTAATTAACGTTCCTTGGATTTAAATGAACTGTTACTTCCATGATGTTTTAAATTATATTTTGGCAAGAATATTTGGAGCTCTGTTTTGGCTCTCAGAAGAGACCCAGGGTGTGACTTGGGCCTTAGGGGTGGGAAGGCTGCCCATGCACGGGGTTCCAGACACTCAGATGGGGTGTGGCTGTCCCTCAAGGAAGAAGTGTGAGCCCTGCTGGGGTGGAAAGTTTTGAATGGCCTGCCTGGACAGCAACCATCCTTTCCTGAGTGCCACCTTGGGGGTCCTGGGAGCTACCTGAGTACAGAAAGCAGAAGCAGTGCCCTCAGGGGGTCTTTCCTCCCAGGGGTCCACTTAGAGTCTGGAGACCAACTGCATACACTGCTGAGTTCATCCTGGGCAAGGCTTCCCTGTGGGTACTGCGGGAAAACGCCACCCACAGTGACCATGGCCCAGGAGGCCCATGGGACTGTATGTTATAGCATAAAAGGTGGGATTCACTTCAGGACTTTGTGATCTTAGGTCACATCACATGATTTGGATAAATCTTACAAAGTTCCTATTTTTATACAATTGTCTTAGATTAAGATAAACAAGATGTGACTGATTGTCTTGAAGAAATGTTTAACTAGCTTTTGTGATTAAGAAGGAAAATGTGCACACATTCACTTTTATGGTCTAGCCTGGTGATATCCAATAGTAGCTTTCAGCAGTGAAAGAAATGTTCTGTATCTTTGTCATCTAGCACAGTAACTGCCAGACACAGGGTTCTTGAACACTTGAACAGTGGTTGATGTGATTCAAGGACTGTATTTTAAGTGGAATTTAATTCAAATAGCCACAAGTAGTTGCCCTATGTGACAACAAGGTATAGCCAATTGGAGGTTTTGGAAGTTAATCACCTTTCATTTCTGAAAGGTGATTTTTATTTTTCTTATCCGAAGAGCTAATCTGTTCTCAGAGGCATGCAGTTCAAAAAGGTTACTTTTAACACCCCAGGTTTTTGTTCAAGTCAATATTTTGGACAAGTTCAAATATTTAATCCTCATCAGATAGAAAATAAGCAGACCATTCTAAAACCACCTGGTAATGCTTCAATAAAGGGTTGTTCCAACTTGAAAACAAACTCTTGAGAAGTTTAAAAGATAAAAGGAGTAGGAAAATGAAAAACCGCTTTCATTAACACTTTAAAAATATAATCAAGATTATTGGTTGCACTACTTGAAAGATTTTGAAGTTTTATCTCATGCCATCTATAGCCAAATGGAAACTATAAGTGAAAAGGGGAGTGGGTTTTCACACAGAGAGGCTGTCTGTAATTTATATCATTTTATTTCATTCACTAAAACCAGTTGTCTCAGTGTCACATATAAATAAGTGAAAAAAACTGCATTTACATATATTTCATGTTATATAATACTCTGAAAAGAAGCATGTTATTTGAATATGTTTATTAAAATACTACTTAATTTATTATATAAGTATAAAAATGCAGAAAGTTCCAAAAGTAGAAAGTGCTTCTTAGTGGAAATATCCTAGAGATTTAAAATAAAAAATTTTACATGATCCATATGGACCCATGTATTATTATTATTATTATAATAAATTATTATTATTATTTTCGGGGCTGGTGATTGAACCCAGGGCCTCACACATGCTTGGCAAGTGCTCTGCCATTGAGCTCCAGCCCCAGGCCTTTTAAAAAATTTAATTTTGAGATAGAGTCTTACTAAATTGCTAAGGCTGGCCTGTAACTTGCTATCCTCCTGCTTCAGCTTCCAGAGACAGCTGGGATTATAGGTATGCACCACCATGCCTGGCCGCTGATGCCTAATTTGGAAAAGTTATTTACATAATAGAATATTTGTAGGAACATTTAAAGGAATGAGAGAAGAATAAAATATTTCTTAGAAGAAAGGTCTTCTGGTTTCAAAATGGACAACAACATCCATTTTTTTTCTATGAAGGAAATGTAGGAGAGGAAAGATTTCCTTTCTCATCCATTGCTAGGTTCATGGCTGAGACTTTGATAACAAAAGACAAATTAACAAGAAAAACACATTTAATGTAAGTTTTACATGATACGGGAGCCTTCAGAAATGAAGATCCAGCGGGGTGCGGTGGCGCATGCCTGTAATCCCAGTGGCTCAGAAGGCTAAGGCAGGAGGATCATGAGTTCAAAGCCAGCCTCAGCAATTTAGCAAGACCCTAAAGAACTCACTGAGACCCTGTCTCTAAATAAAATATAAAAAAAAGGGCTGGGGATGTGGCTTAGTGGTTAAGTGCCCCTAGGTTCAATCCCCAGTGCCCCATCCCCCAAAAATGAAGGTCCAAAGAAACAGGTAAGCTTTTTTTTTTTTTTTTTTTTTTTTTTGTAAGTTTGATAAAGAAGTAGATTGGAGGACCAAAGGGAATGACTAGTGGTGATAGACTTGGGGAATTTAGCAAGGCCTGTTCAGAAGCTTCTTGGCATCTCTATTGTTGTGAAGAAGAGTTTTCCTTTTTTTTTTTTTTGCGTATGGTGGGGATACTCTGGGATAAGGATGTTATAAACTACTTCAGAGAGGAAAAGATTCTTTCCTGGCCTGCTGCAGGAGAAGAGTCCCCAAAGGTTCATGTGTTACGTGGCTTGGTCCTCATCTTGGCACTATTGAGAGGTGATGAAAACTTTTTTTTTTTTTTAACTGGGGATTGAACCCAGGGGTGCTTTCCCACTGACCTACATCTGCAGCTCTTTTTTTTTGTTTGTTTGTTTCTTTTAAGTTTTGAGACAGGGTCTCACTAAGTTTTTTAGGGCCTCGCTGAGTTGCTGAGGCTGGCCTCTAACTTGCCATCCTCCTGCCTCAGCTTCTTGAGCCACAGGGAATACAGTCCAGTGTCACCGTGCCTGGCAGTGGGTCTCATTGAGAGGTCTTTGGGTCACTGGGGAATGTGTTCTTGAAGGATATTGTGGGACCCAGATCTTTCCCTCGCTCTCATTCTCATCCTGGGCATCAGGGGAGTGGCTTTGCTGTCCATGTGCTGCTCTGATGATGTGCTGCCTTGCCACAGATCCTAAAGCGACAGGCCAACCAGCTATGGACTGAAACCTCCACAATTGACCCAAAATAACCCTTTCTATCCACAAATTGCTCTTCTCAGGTATTTCTTATGGTGTGCTAGAAAGGTGACCACTGCATAAATCAGGAGAGAAGTTACGCTCTGTAAGAGTTGAAGTGGAGTGGAGGTTCCAGAACTTTATTTATTCATTTTAGTTTAATTAACTCACCCCTTGCAGGGGTCTGGTCTTCCTAAAATATATGCCATGTCTGTGGAGAGTCCTTTGTGGCTCTTATGAATTAGCCTTTGCTGGATTCGTGTGCAATCAAGAATGTTGGAACTGAAGGCACAACACAGAGCCCTGTTCTGCCAAGTCCTGTGCAGAATCCTCCAGGTCCTTGCCAAACGGTATTCCTTGCAGCACAGGCTTAGTATGTTTGGGTGGCAATGTAATTAGAGCCCCAAAGAATTCTTATTATTTGTTAGAGGAGTTATTTCAAAATTGCCAGTGAGAAGCACTTGGTATTTAAAATTGAAAAAAATAAAATTGTACAGAGCAAACACTTCTCTTCAAGCTGCTTTTTCCAATATTCATGAGGCTAAGAACAATGTCCATCCTGTAAAGGGAAATATTAACCTCATGGAGTGAGCTGGAAGAGACTTCTGATTCTTTAGGGCATCTCTCCTGGGATTCCTCAGCCAGCATGTTGCTGTAGGAGATATAGTGGTCAGGACAAAAGTGACTTATGTCTAAATCAGAATGTACCTGGTTTGAACAACAAGGACATCAGAAGCATTCCTGGTGCTGATGGTGACAGTGTCCAGTTCTAAAGCTCCACATGCCACTCTAATGGTTTTGTTTATTTATAGCATACTGGAAACTATGCAGGGGGAAACAGACCAGGGTTATTTGGGGGCAATCATAGAGTTTATGAGTCAAGATATTCTGCAGTTGGGTTGAGCTGGATCCCTTCAGTATCTGTCTTGTCTCATATAAGATTTTAAGTTTCTGGAGTTTGGCTAATACATTTAGACTGTGCTCAAAAGTTTGATGACAAATAGCGAATCTACAGAGAATTTGCACCTGCATTTTTGCTATTTTCCCAACAGTTACTTCCAATAGATATATAAATATTATTTATGATATTGCCTCAAAAGTATGAACGTGCACCACAAAAATTGCATTTTCTAGAAATGCAAATCAAAACCACAATGAGATATCACTTCACACCTGTTAGTATGGCCATGATAAACAAAAATCAAGAAAGAAATATTAGTAAGGATGGGGAGGAATTGGAACCCTTATGAACTGCTAGTGGGATTGTCAAATGGTGTAGACAATACGGTGGTTTCTTAAAAACTTAGAAATAGAATTTCCACAGGATCCAGCAATCACACTTGTAGGTGTCTATCCAAAATACGTGAAAGCAGGGTCTTAAGGAGATGTGCACACTTTTATTTTCACAGCAGCACAATTTACAATGACCAATAAAATATACATTGATAGATGAATAAACAAAATGTGGTATATACGCACAATAGAATAGCATTGAGCCTTGGGAAGGAAGAAGATTCTGACACGTGATACAACCTGGATGAACTTGATTGGGTGTGGTGTGGACATTGAACCCAAGGCCTGAATGCTCTACCACTGAGATCCATGCTCAGCCCTCATGGATGCACTTTGAGGACAATTATGCTAATTGAAATAAGCCAATCACAAAAAGATTAATACTGTATGATTCCACTTCTGTGAGGTATTTAATCAAGTTCATGGAAAGAGAGTAGAATGGTGATTTTTCAGGGGCTGGAGGGGAAGGAGAAAGAGAAAATTATTATCATTTTTTTTATGGTGCTGGGGATTGAACCCAGGGCTTTGTGCATGAGAGGCAAACACTCTACCAACTAAGCTATAGCCGTAGCCCAAAAGTTATTTTTTAAATGGGTGTAGAGTTCTGAAGATCTGTTTCACAACAATGTGAAAGTAACTATGTGATTCTATACTTTAAAGTGGTTAACATAGTCAATTTTATGTGTGTGTGTGTGTGTGTGTGTGTGTATCACCACAATTAAAAATAATTACATTTTGTTTTGTAAACTCCAATGTCAAGTCTGGCTTACAGTTACCTCTTCTGTGAATCAAAGCTCTCTGAAGTCTTGTGCTGAGTTTCTGTTCTTCAATAATCCTTTCCAGTTAACTTCTTGTTATCGTCACCTTTGCCAGTTTTACTCTAAAAACACTCTCATTATAGAACAGAGGACATAATGATCATTAACTAACACTGAAATTAAGGTGACATCATAATTTAGGTAATTAGAGTCTTGTAGAAGCCAAATTCTCTGGGGCTGAGAAATGACATCGGGGAAACTCTGTATGTAGTAATTTAATCTGACAAATTAAAATAGCACTCCTCCACAGGAGACTTCTGTTAGTGCACAGCTCCCACTTCTATATCTGAAGTTCCTCATAACCAGATGTTTCTTATTTGTTTAGGAACAATTTGCTGGATTCAAGGTCATCAGTCCAGCTTGCCATTCCCCCTCCTTGGTTCTAGGGGGGCTTTCCTATGACATTTCCCACTTGTGCCACTATTTTCAACATTTCTACTGAATAAACCTTTAGGAAAGAGCAGTCAGAAGCTTAGATTGTGACCCAAGAGGGGGCCAAGAGATTGTCCATTAGGACAATAAAGGACACAATACCTTTATTTTATGTATTTATTTTGATGTGGTGCTGAGGATCAGACCCAGGGCCTTGCATGCGCTAGGCGAGTACTCTACCACTTTGAGCCACAACCCCAGCCCTTAATATGTGTTTTTAGAATAACTGGATAACCTAGCCAAAAGATAAAAGATAAAATTAGAGCTAGTCTTCAAACCATATATCAGAATAAATTCCAAATACATTAGAGATCTAAATGTAAATAAAACCTTACAAGTATTAGAAGAAATTATGGGTGAATTCCTCCATGATATGGCCTCAAAATGTCCACATCCAATCCCCAGCATCTGTGACTATGTACCCTATATGGCATATATAGATATGGTTAAAGTTAAGGTGGTGAGATTATCCTTGGTTATCTTGGATCTCAGCTGGGTCCAATACAATCACATGAGTCCCTACAAATGGACAATTTCCCTGGTTCTTATCAGAGAGACATGACTACAGAAAGGGGTCAGAGGTGTATCACTGCTGGCTTTGAAGATGGAGGAAAGAGGTTGGGAGCCTAAAAGAACAGGGATGGCTTCCAGAAGCTGGAAAATTCAAGGAAACAGATTTCCTCCTAAAGCCTGCAGGAAGAAACACAGGGTTGCTGAAACCAGTTTCTCCACTTCTGCTGGAAGGTGGGGTCTGCATAAGCTGCTGCCCTCTGCAGCCAAGAAAAACCCCATTTTAGTGTTAGCAGCTAATCAAGGCAAGAGATGCCTGAAGGCATCAGCTCCCAGGATTGAAGCCAGCAAAGCCAGACTCTTCTCCACATATTACTGAGTGGCATGTTGCAGCTCTTAATGGTGGGCTCTGCCCTCCAGTGAGTGTCACAGCAGACCCCAGAAGCTCGCTACCAACTTCTTTCCAGGTTCTTATCTCAAGCAAAAGTGAAAAGAGTAGGATTTATTCAAGTGGGAAAAAGAGACAGAACTCTTAAAGGGTGAGAGGGGACCCAATAGCAGTTTGCTGCTTGAGTGTGCTAGTGTCCACTTGGGTCAATGCTATTGATCCAAATTTATATTAATCAGGTCTTGAAAGTCTTAATGCTATTGGTTGGTCCTGCCATCTCCATTTGGGTCTGCCCCATTTGTTTTTCTGCCGTGCCTTAGGACATGGGATAAGGATGGTGGATTGTGGCTGCTTGGAGTGCTGGACTGCCATGATGTGTGGAGGGACATCCACACCAGGTTGGGTCAGCTGCCTTGGGTGCGACAGGTTGGTGCACCTGGCTTGCCTTGGCCCTCGCTCACCATGCCTCAGACCTGCACCGGCATGGTGAGCTCCATGCCTGTGCTTCAGGCCACCCGGCTGCATCTCCTGGGACTAGGGGTTGGATTCCCTGTCAGTGCCCTGATTTTAGCCCAGTGAGAACTATATTGGACTTCTGGCATACAGGATTGTAATATAAGACCTTTTTATTTTAAGCCAACAAATTTGTTGTTATTTGTTAGAACAGCAATAGGCAATTAATACATCCTGCTCAGAAAGTATTTTTTACCATAATCATTGTGACAACGACAACAATGATTAGAAGGAGACAACAGCAAGAAGTGCTTAAGCGCCCTGGTACGCAATTCTGGAATGGGCTGGAATAGAAATGCCCCCTGCTGGAATAGAAATGCCCACTTTCAGGGTAGATCTGGATTCTACTCTCCATCTGGCAAGTGGTGTTTGCTTCTGGGCTCCAAGAAGTGGGGAGGTTTGTAGTGCTTGTGGGCATAGCAAGCAAGGAGGAGGAGGGTAATGGATTTCCTGTCTTTGGTCTGGTGACCCTGGCTGCTGCATCTGTTGCTGTATTGTTTGTGGGAGAAGGCATTCGAGTGGCCCGCATAGGGGGAAGTGAGCTTCTTGGTGGCACCTGCTGGGTTGGAAATCTTGGAGCAGTTGGTGGTTTTGAGCTGTGTCTGACATTGGGGTCAGCCTTGGGAGAGTCAGGGACTTTGGGATTCACTGTGGACCTGGGTGACACCTGTGGGGTTAGAAATCTTGGAGCAGTTGGTGGTTCTGAGCTGTGTCTGACCTTGGGGTCAGCCTTGGGAGGGTTAGAGATTTGGGGGCTCACTGTTGACATGGGTGGCACCTGTGGGATTACAATTCTTGGAGCAGTTGGTGGTTCTGAGCTGTGTATGACCTTGGGGTCAGCCTTGGGAGGGTTAGAGACTTTGAGGCTCACTGCTGGTGTAAGGATCTTGTCCACTCTAGAGGCTGATTGTAAGCAGGGGAGATTGGTACCAGTAGCAGTTAGCCTGGGTTCCCCAGCATCCTTGGAGGGTGTGGGCACTGGTGACTCCTTGGCCAGGCCCAACCCACTCTGAGCACAGGATCCCTGCAGACATGCCTCACAGTTTTTACTGTCATGTGGCCCTTGAAGACAGATATCCTTGATCGCAGGAATCTCCTCTACAATCTTAAATCCTTCTCTGTAGCATTTCTTCAGAATTCGGATCACCAGGTTATTCAGGACCCTTGAGATGTTCTCCTGTGTGAACTCAGGGACCTCAAATGGAGGCTGGGGACACTTCTTACATCTCTGGGCAAAGACCCTCATCTTCACCTGGCCCCTGTGCTTCTTCTCACTCCAGTGCATGTGGAAAAGGACCTGGACATGGGCAGAGGCCCAACTGCGAGAGCAGGAAGAACACTGGAACCTGTGGAGATAGAAGATGGGAGCTTCAGCCAGATTATGGGCTGCTGCTGAGGGAGGAAGGAGTCACTGAACACAACAGAGACATGATTGGGTTGGGGTCATGGACTAGCAATGGGAGAAACCACTGAGCTCCTTGTTGTCATCTCCAGTGCACATGTGATCAAAATAGTCTATCACAAACTGTCTGGGCTGGGAATGGGACCTTGGGCACCTTCTAAGTCCAATGTGCCCTCATTAGAGATGAGGGCACCTCTGGGAGCTCCATGCTCTAGAGCCCAGTGGAATACAAGAGGCTGGACTGGAGCTCCAGTCCCTTGACCCTGAGCCAAGGATCCTTCAAACAGATTCGAACAGGTCAAAGGCTACCAGAGATAGATAACCCAAGATCCCTTTGCTGAAGTCCACGAGTGACAACAGTGGGTATTGGTTAGGTCACAAAGCTACAGATAGATCAGGGAGAGAGACTGAAAAGTCCTTGTCCTAGAGAGAAGCTTTGCCGGCCCTTGGTTGCCCAGGGCCACTGATCTACAGCATCAGGGGAGATCACTGTCTGCAACACTGTCTTCTTTTGCTCCCCTCAACCCCATTCCTTTGCTCAAGGTAGTCTGGAGAATGTTGCCTTGGCCTCCAACAGGGTTCAAGGAAACAACACCGTGTCTCAGCAAGGAGGGTAATTTTCTGAGTTAAGATATTTGCACAAGTACCTCTTAGGACTGGGAGAGAAAGAAGGCAGGAAGCACATGGTACACCCATGACAGGAATTACAGGACAGGCAGAGGGCCACAGCATGGCAGAGACATCTGTGCTCACCCTCCCACTTCCAGCCCTGCTTGCAGTTAGGTTGGGGCCATGGGACCAGATGGTCCATGGAGTACGGGCAGCAGTGATGTGCTCTTTCTAACTCTCCAGCTCTCCCCTCAGGGAACTTGAGAGCCATGTGCAAGGTTAAATCTAGGTGTATTGTCACAGCAGCTGAGCCTAGCTTTGCTGGCCTTGATGCAGGGGTGCCGGCAGTCTGAGATGGGGAATTAGAGGGGAATGAGCAGCATAAGTTAGTGTGGACTCTCCCACACCTCTATTCTAACCTGCCCTCTCGGAATGGACCTGAGGATGAGCCAGGGGGAAGACTCCTAGAAGCTCTGAGCCTTGTGATGTCCACAAGCTGGAAGTCAGCATGGGTTGGTCTTGCACAGGGGACTGGGCCACCTTGAGCTGCCCGTTCACTGCCTTGGCCTGGTCATGGTGTTCTGGCTTCACTTCACAATGTGCCAGCCCAGAGTTCCAAGTTCTTCCAAATAAACAGATTGAAAGTTTGGTCAGGGGCTCCCCATGCCTGCTCTGGCCTGGAGAAGCTCCGCCTCCTCTGCTTGGACCCTCCCAGAGAGGGCAGGAGGCAGGATTTATCCCAGGACTCCACTCCTTGTGTAGTGGGCAGGGCCCTTCTCCCCTCCCCCCAGGTCTTGGGGCTCCATTTTCCCATCTATAAAAGAAAGGGTGAAATGTTGGGTGATTTCCCAGAGTCCTATTTTTAAAAGATTCTATCAGCATAGAGTAGAGGGGGGGCAGGATTGATGTGAGTTGCTCAGTACCCTGCTCCTCTGGATTCTCCCTGAGGGGTCTCCTTGGTGCAGTCCACTAAACCCAGGTGGGCCCACAGTCTCCCAAGGTAGGGAACAAGTGTCACATCCCTTTAGTGAAACAGCTGCCATTCCTCCTCCCAGCTCCCATCTCCCATCTCCCCTGCCACCTCTGCAGACTGAATTCTTTATCTGAACATTAGCCCAAACCAGTGCTGAGGCCTGAAATTATATAAAGAAAAATGATTTTTGGTGTGTGTGGGGGGGTGGTACTAGGGATTGAATCCACAGAGCCACATTCCCAGCCCTTTTTATTTTTTATTTTGAGACAGGGTCTCACTAAGTCACTCAGGCTGGCCTTGAACTCATGATCCTCCTGCCTTGGTTTCCCGAGTTTCTGGGATTACGGCATGCACCACTATGCCTGATGGGAAAGAAGATATTTCATGAAGTCAAAACTTGATGGATGGACTTCTTTCTTTCTAGTCTTTAATGTGCAAGCGAGATAGGATAGAATAAAGAAAAAAATAAACAGAAGGAAAAAGAGATTAACACTTCAAATCTAAGAAGGTCCACGAATACCCTCACTTTTGCTCCCCAGGCCAGAATTCTTTAAAATCCCCTGATTCTTAGAGTATTAATGCCTACATACATTGCTAGCTTATACAACCTCTTTTTTTTTTTAGACTAAACAAAGACAAAGGAAAAATAATGTTAGAGACCTATGATATAAGTACAAATTCTATTAACCAGATATCAACCAGATGTCAAGAAGATGAGAACTAGACCACCACCAACTGCCCTCTTCTCTGTAATTAGAAGAACTGAGCTCACTCCTATATACTTCTCACATTCATACAGTTTCCTTTGAAAGAAGAGTCTTAGACCCCCAAAGCAAGTCTTATTCTTGAGACAGCCTGTACTCTTTCTCTCTCCCTGTGTATCCCTTATTTTCTTAATCAAATCTCACTTGGGTCTCTTTCTGATTCATCCTCAAATTCTTTTCTGTGATGTAGGTCAAGAACCCGCCAGGGTGGATTTGAGATCGTCCTCTCTCTTCTGGGGGACCTCCTTGGACCTCTATCAAGTGACACAATTTTGAGGTGGAACCAGAAGAGCGACAAGTGTGCACAGTCAGAAACAAGCAAGGATTTTTTCTGGCACATGTACCACAGCATTCCCCTCTCACCTGGCGAAAGTCCACAGCTGGTATTGCATCCAGCCCGGCTGCAGGACGTTGGGAAGAAGGCCCTTGTCTGCTGTGAGGGTCCATTTGTGCCATGGTTTCACCTCCTGAATTAACGTCTGGAATACTTGCCTCCATGCTTCTATGTCCTGACCCTTCTTGTCCCCCATGGTGTGCCTGAGTGGGTTGGGGTCTCCGGAGTCCTGACCAGGTGTGTGGCAGGAGGCGAGGTTGTCCACTTCAGAGAATGAGGGCTCCGAATGTCTCTCCCTGTGAAGACCTAGATTGGGACCATGGGACAGATCTCTGCCCCAGGGGCAAAGGTCAGTTGAGTCAGTTTCCAAGTTCAGAGATTGGCAGCAGGTTCCACAGGGCATTTCAGGACACAGAATTCATGGCTTTATCTATCAAAATATGACCAAAGAAGACAGCTCTGGAATCAGTCTCAGTCTGTCTCTGTTGCCTACCTACCTTTCACCTGGAATGCACCTTTTTACCTCTGGAGTCCCTGTAATGGCAGAGGGAGGTCACAGTTGCTCTTCTCTGTCCTAATATTTGAAAATCCTTAAACACTGGGATGATGTGTTCATGCTCCAGGAGGAGAGACACAGAGAAGAAGGACACGGCCATTGTGGGACCTCGCAGGGATCCCAGCGTCATTGTTCCATGCCCTCTAGGTCCTCACTCATGACTAGTCACAGTTTAAGGTGTTTTGCAGACACTCAGTGGCCTCCAGTTTCCTAGCATGAGTGGGAGAATGGAGATCCCAGGCCCGATCTTTCACCCTTTGGCAATCAAAGCTGATGTTGTTCCAGGAGATGAGGTGACAATTCTCCAGGTGGGTGAGAGGCCACTGGTTCCAGACCAACCAGAAGCCACCACCCTCTTCCCAGAGGTGCTCTGCTATCACCCCACTTCCTCCAGAAGAGGCAGAGGAGGAGGAAGGAGGGGTGGGCAGAGTAGGGGGCCAGCGCCAGAGTGGCAACAGCCCAGGGAAGGTGGACGAGATTCCTGGAGGCCACACTTCAAGGCATTGTCTATGAACATGGTGGTTCTTCCTGTAATGCAGCCACTGACCTGTGTCCTTGGCTATCTCCCAAGAGGAAAGCTGTACTCTTGGCTGGGAGGAAAGGAAGGAAAAGAGGAGGGGGAGGAGAAGGAAACTTTCTGAGGTCCAGCTGCCCACTGCCTCTGCCCAGATGCAGCTCCTCCCGGGGAAGGCTCACACGGTGGCAGTCTCCCCTCCTCCCTCACCAGTTTTGTTTCCCAACATTATTTGCTCAGTTATAAACTAACTAGATTTGGGAAGCCCTTTCGATTTCTCTCTTTTGATCTTCTTCCCTCTTCAGTCTCTTTCTCTGTGCTACACTTTGCCTGATTATTTCAGCTTTTACTAAAAAAGTGTTCTTTTTGAGGTCCATTTTGCCATGTTCATATGTTTTGGGCATTTCACGGGGGACTTCGCTGTTTCAAACAGCTCCCAAACAGGCTGTTGAAGTGCCATGTACTGTTCCTAACAGCAAGAAGCCTGCAGTACTCCTTACAGAGAAATGCAAGTGGTGGGTAAGCTTCATTCAGCCCTGAGATATAATGCCGTTGGTTGTGAGTTCAATGTTAACGAATCAACAATATATACTAAATAAAATGTCTTTAGACAGTAAAAACACAAGGTCATTCATCAATCAGATTACCAAAATGTTGCGGCCAGTGGTTCTCAGGAATCCAATTCTACATTTCCTTCAGGAGCGCCAGGTAAGAGCCCAGAATGACCAAATAACAAGAAGCAACTGTCTTCTCCTTCGTCTACCTAGTGATTTGCCTTCTCCCTCATTTCTATGGGTAGAATTGGGGTGTTGAATTTAAGTCTCTGCTGTTACCCAGTTTTTGTTCAGAAGGTTACTAACTCCTAGTGTCATTAGCGAACAGTCCTAGATCCCACAGAATCCCTGGGCCTCTGCTGTCCTCTGTCTCAAGTCTATGTCCCCAAGACCAAAGTCCACAGTTGCACTCTTTCACCAGCCAGTCTCCTAAACTTATGGTTAAGAACTGCTATCAGCCTTCTCAAAGAGGGTGCCGTGGGTTGAAATGTAGCACCCCAAGAGACATGTCCACCTGCGAGTGTGTATTTGGAGACAAGGACCTTTGCAGATGTAATTAAGGATCTGGAGAGGAGATCTATTGTGGAAGATTTGAAGTTTCTTTTGATGATAGAACATGACACAATGATATGAAGATCGATGGAAGGCAGAACTTTTTAGTATTTACAGCTCTGAACTAGAGAAGCCTGTCAGATGGGCCACACTGGGTGTCTGGAGATAGGGTACAGCGAGGAGAGCTCATGTGTGGCAAGTGCCCTGGAGTTAGGTAGGTCTCATGGGCTCCCTGAGGATTGGCTAATTTGAATAATTTCAAGGGTTCTGGGGACACATGGGTTCTCCCCAGTCACCTGGTATCTGGCCCTGGAGCTGTTAGGGCAACTGTACAGTGGTCTGGAGTGTGGGCTTCATCTGCTCAAGAAGGGAAATGGATCTACCATCAGCCAGGGCCTCAAAACTGGGTTAAGAACTCATCAGGCAAAACTAAACACAACACGTAAACTATATTACCAGATCATCCCAGACATAGGGTAGGCCCTAAACCCAAGGACAGATATTCTTATAAGGGAGAGGCAGAGGGACATCTGAGACACAGAGGCATAGGAGAGGGCCACATGGAGACAGAAGCAGAGACTGGCTTAAGGCTGCCACAAGCTGAGGAAAGTCTGGTACCCATAGAAGCTCTGAGAGGCAGGAAAGGATTCTCCCAAGAGCCTTTAGAGGAAACGTGGTATTGTACTGCTGACCCTTCCAGAAATGTAAAAGAATAGGTTTATTACGTTTTTTTTTTTTTTACAGCAGCCCTAGGAAATAAAACCTCCTGGGCCTTACCAGCTGTCCTGAAGGCTGGACTCCCCTGCCTGCTTCTCCATCAGGTGCAGGGGACAGGAGGAGACCTCAGCACATGCCTAAACTCATGTGGCCTTCTTTCTCCTACTTACTATCCCTTCCATGTGTTCAGAGCCTTACTATTTGTTGATTGAACAATTTTCTTAATTCCTTAGTTCATGTTCTTCCCTTCTCTCTTAAAAACCATGCTTTACAGAGTTGCTGAAGAATTCCTCCAAAAATTCAAATGCCACCGTTGGCTCTGGTGGCCTCTTTTCCCTAAACACGATCTGCTGGAATGTTGCTCATATTATCTCTTCTAAGTCCCTCAAATATCCTTATTAGACAGGACTTCTTTAATTTCCTTAAATAAAATAATAACCCTTCCTCTTAGCCTCCCCCCACTCTCTTATCTTCTCACTATCCTGTTTTTTTCATTTATTTGCTTTTAAATCACTTCTTGCCTTAGTTCCTAGGAAACTGCCAGTTCTAAGACAGAAAAGGAGGGAATTCTGATTTATCTGAATAGTGCTTGGGTATTTAGTAATTGCTTGATTAAGTGCTGAATGAATTCTGTCCCAAACTGTATTATGGCTCCGTAGAACTATGCCAGCTTGGGGTCTGGACGTGGGAAGAGAGAAGTGGGGTGGGATGGTCTTGCAGTTGTCTTATAGCTTTTAGGAAGGCAACTGTCCATGGTTTTCTGGGTCTGGGCTTTGGAATTATCTCCATTTTCCTCTGATAACTGGCCTCTTTTTCTGCTGAGTCTTTCTTGGACTTGGCATCATCCATGATCTAGTCATACTAACATAGTTCTCTCAGATTCCCAACTTTGAGTTTATTCGAGGTAAGTGTATTCAAGGTAAATCTCTTTCCCTTTCAAACTTGGTCAATCTTAACCTCTATGATCTTCTTATTGCTAAGCTGTTTAATAAATATGGCTTCCCCTGTTTTTCTTTCATTTTCCACTGTCCCTGTGCTGAATGCAAGAGCAAAACAAAAGAACAACAACAAAAATCATTGACCCAAACTCACCAACCACCTGAGATAAGATTCACAGCCCAGGCCACGGCTTATGTAATGAGCAATTCAGAACCAATAGGAAGCCATGTGATTTCAGAACCTGTGGACTCTCCTGCCACCATCCAGCAGGTGCACCTGTGACATCTCGACCAGATACACAGGTCAGGAGGCCAAAAGGGTCTGAGGTCATGGAGCTCAGGGGCCCTGGTTCTGAACACCTCCAGCCTCGCTGCTCTGAGGCTTAGTGTTTTTTGAAGCCTTTTCTTCTTGTGTGTTTCAAGCTTGTTTTCACAATTCTGTTGTAAATGGTGAAGAAAGTCTAAATATAAATAATTGTTATTAAATGTTCTTGGTCCAGCACAACCCCCGCCCCTGGGGGTGCCAGGAAAGTTGTCTCTGAAGGAGAGTCCAAGTAGTTTCTAGGGAGAAGGGGGAACTGACAACTAATGATGATGGATTTTCAGCATGCTCCAGTCAAAGGCATAGACAGAGGTTTATTTATGAAAGTAGATACATACTCAAGGGAGAATGGGGCTATCACCAGGGGAAAAGACAGCAATTCCTTCCTGTGGGGTGTTAATACTTATGGAGGGCTGTTTCTAGGTTCTGGACTAGAGGTAGAGCCAGGGTGGAGCTTAATTTGGGGCTAGTTGAGACTTGGGAATGCGTCAAGGGCACGTGCTCGTGCTCCGGAGTTCCAGTTGTTCCTGGCTGTGTTGGTTCATCGGTGTTTCCCCTGGGACTCAGTATTTCTCCCTTTATCCCCCAGTTCCTAATTCTGGCAAACAGTCAGCAGCTCCTGGGGCTGCCTCAGGGCGGGGGCTGGGGGGGGGGGGGGGGCTGCAAAATCACAGCTGCATTTGAACTTCCTCATCAGTGAACTTCCAATTCGGTCTTAGTACAAGTACCCTAAAGTCAGTATCATCTACTAATAGTTTGTTCCTGGCGTATCTGAAATGCGAATTTAACTGGGCATCCTGGATTTTATCTTTTGCTAAATACCCTGGTCCGGGTGCCTGAATGCTCTGCCGTCTGCCCTCTGCCCAGCCAGACGCTGCAGGGCCCCCGGCTTCTGAACTAGCATCCCCTACTATGAAGGTTCGAAAACCAGCAGCATCAGCTATAGCGGTGTCTATGCCAAATATTACAAATCTCGCGAGAACGCTTAGGGCCCGGAAGTGTGGCCTGTGTCCCGGAAGTGTGGCAGGTGTGCCAGAATTATGGCCAATGGCTGGCGTGGCTCTGCACCATCTGGACCACAGTTCCTGGGTCTGAATCTAGGGCCAAGTCCTCATTTGGGGCCCTGAAGTGAGAAGAGTTAGGCTCCCTCTGCCCGAACTGTGTGTGCATGAGTTTACAAACTACATTACAGAACCTTCACAAATGAGTCTCTAAATTATTCAAGTTTTATGGTTTATATCCTCCTACCCCACAAAATATACCTCAAGCCCTGGTGA